GAGGAGTGGCTGGTGGGTTTGAACTGCCAGCCGTCTGGTTAGCAGGCAAGTGTCTTAGCCACTATGCTACCAGAGCTCCAAGCTTCAATTAATGTGAGGAGGTAGATGTTGTTTGGAGTGAAGATGAAGGATTTATCTCTCCATGGTGACTGGCTCCAATTGGAGATTCTGATGGTTCCTTGAATTCTCCTTTGAACCGGTTTTAACATCTTACTATTTCCTTCATTAATTATTGAGATAATAAAATCTTTGATATATGTTCATTTTTAGTTTAATGAGAGTCATGATTTTACCTTTTAAAGAAATTGTATCTGTTAAGATATAAAGACTGAACATTGACTAAAAACAGCAAGTCCTTAGAGACCTAAGAAATATGAAGGTATGACTTGCCCCTCAAAACTCCTTACATTTATTAACTCATTTAATCTTCTCGACAACTCTGTGAGAGGGAGTGCAATTAACTCCATTTTACAGATGATGAGAGGAAAGCACAAAGACAGTAAGTAACTTATCTGCATTAAGATAGTTTGCAAGAGGCAAAGCTAGCAGTAAAAACCTAGGCATTCTGGCTCCAGTCCAAGGGACAAACCATCACATGATCGTGCCATACAAGGTGTTCTTGCCAAAAGAAGACAGGACTAAACATTCTTAGCTAATATTTATATCATGCTTTCTCAACCACAGCACTACTAGCATTTGGTACAGAATAATCCTTTAGTGTGGGGCCGACCTGTGCATGGTGAGATGTTTAGCAACATTCGGGGCCTCTGCCTCCTCAGTGCCAGTGGCACTCTCAGTTATAACAACCAAAAATGTCTCCAGATGTTACCAAATTGTCTTTGCAGAAAATTTGCCCTTGATTAAGAAGTACTTGATGAAGAACTACTGCCCTACACCAATCTCTAATGTCAACTAATGAAATTAAATCCTTGACTCTTAACTTCTTCATAAAAGAGTCACATGTGAAGAGAGGAAAAAGTAGACTTCAAACATAGATGAAAACAGCTGAATGAAACAAGTTGATGTCTCAGTAGAAAGCATACTTAGTGGTGATTACCTTATGGCGGACTGTACTTCTACAGCAGGAAGGGTGTGGTTCTTAGAAGGATCTGTAACCACAAACCAGAATGACACCCGTTGGGTTACATTGCAAAGTAGAACGTGGGAAATTCTGTAGACAGTGGAGAGAAAAAATACATAGTCAGGAAAACATGCGAAATGGCATATGATCATCCACCCTGACACTATTGTCACCTTAAGTGGGGGCTTACCTACAAGGAAAAATCATTTCCATCATTATGAAGAAATGTCTTATTAAGAAGAAAATTACATCAGAGAAAATTCTCTTTGATTTCAAACTCATACTTAGAGATCATTCCATAAGTAAAGAATATGCCATAAATGAATGAATGCATGAGTAAATAAATGAATGGGCTTAGTCAGTGAGTGGAGTGTTAGGCTCTCACTCGCCATCACCTCTTGGCTGACAGCACTTGGCTTCCCCAGCACTCAGCCCTTCTCTGCCCTCAGAAGCCTTTGGATGTTTCCTCACAAAGCTCTTTGTTGTGTCCTCTCTGTTCAGATGTCTGCCTTCAGCTCCTGGGTAGATTCTGCTATTCACTCTTGGACTCAAAATTTCCTGCATCAGCCTCTATTTCTGTCCCTCACCATCCCAACATGGTGTCAGGCCCAAGAGATGCCTTGTGCACACCCATTCAGTTTGTTTCCCACCACCTTGAACAGACCTCTGAAACGGAGTGGTCTAATCAATGACTCAGTAGCCTGTGAACACTTTGTTTTGTAGGCAGATGCTTTTAACTGTAAGTTGGAAATGTGACTTACTCTACTCTACACTTACCAGTACAAGTAGAAATAGAGAAATTGCATTAACGTTCAAAGAGGAGACGATGTACATATGACAGTATATTCCAACAAACAAACAAACTGCCATCCAGCGGATTCTGACTCATAGCGACCCCCATTGGGATTCCTAGGTGATAAAGCTTGACGGAAGTAGATTGCCCAGTCCCTGGAGTGGCTGGTGGGTTTGAAATGCCAACCTTCTGGTTAGCAGTCAAATGCCTCAGGCACCACGCCGCCAAAGCTCCTTTGGGCACTATGAACATTGAAAATTATAGGAGAGTCCACATAAAATCAATAGAAAACACAAAACACACCGCCATCTAGTGGATTCTGACTCATAGCGATCTCCCTTGGGTTTCTGAGGAAGTAAATCTTTACAGAAGTAGATTGTCCCATCTTCTTTCCTAGGAGCGGTTCATGGGTTTGAACCGCCAACCTTCTGCTTAGCAGTCAAATGCCTCAGGCACCACGCCGCCAAAGGGCCTTTCAATTATAAGTCGCTGATGGCTCACATTATTTCCCTAAGAGCTAAATTGCATAACAAAACAAAAAAAGATATTAACAATCTTTCTAGAAGAATGAAACATGCATCATCGCATTTACTAAAACAGTAACGTTGTTGTTATGTGCTCTGGAGTTGGACCCGACTCATAGCTACCCCTCCTTGGGTTTCCCAGGCAGTGTCACTACAAAGTAGATTGCCCCACCTTCCTTTCGAGGAGTGGCTGGTGGGTTTGAACCGCCAGCCTTCTGGTTAGCAGTCAAGTGCCTTAGGCACTACGCTACCAGAGCTCCTAAATTAATAATAGTAATAATAATAACAATTCAGTGGTTTTTAGAAGACCATCCAAGTGTATTACGTCCAATATTACATGACAGAGAATACCCTATTTTCAATACGCTTGCACAGCTATCTAGAATTTCCCGGTGGAAAATACCGTAATTTCTTCCTTTAAATGTAGTACAAAAATTGAGGCAACTCTTTCGACTCTGTCCAGAGTCAAAGGGCTGGGACTCACAGTGAGGGCAGACTTGAACTTCCTGTGTCTCCCGGATTGTGCCTGGAGGTGGTGGTGAGGGTGAGGTGGGAACAAGGGCAGCTCCAGGATGCCGCTGCCATCAGTCTTCTTCCAGTGTTCACAGAGCGCGGTTCCGGGGAGGGCCAGGCCAAGAGACCAGAACTCCACGCGCCCTTCCTGCAACCGGAAGCCAACGGTCTTACGAACTCTGGGCGCCCGGAATCCACCACGTGGGCAGACATCGCAAGCTAATATCCTTAACTTCTGGAAACCCAATCCCTTCACCAGCTGCCGAGCCCTCTGCCGCACTGACCTCATGGGCAACTAACCACCTGGGCAACTACTGGGACCTGCTCAAGTCCAAGGTCGTGTTGCCACCCTCCACCCAGAGGCGCCTATTTCCTCCAGCCAGGCCCACCTAGGCCCCATGCTACACCCACTACCGCTGCCCTGGGGGCTGGGGGCAAAAACAGCCGCTCCCCAGAATCCCACAGGACTGGAAGCACGTCAACTTACGGGAAGCCTGGATGGGTTTCCCCAACAAGCCGCTCCCCAAGTCCGTCGGGGGACCCGGCCTCTCTGCCTCCTGGGAGACCAACTGGAAGCGCAAACTGTGGGCCGCCGTCAACCTCGGCTGCATCCAGAGCCGGGTGACGGTAAAGATCAGGCCCCCCAAAGTGCCATGGGGACCCTGCCCCCGGCCAGGCCCAGGGCGCCCTCTATACCATGCCCCGCCTATCTGAGCAGCGGCCCTGTGCCAAGAAGACCGTGCTGCAGGCCCTCAGCCAGTGCAACAAGGGGAAGAGGAAGTTCGATGGGCCCCTATGGTTCGAGGTCCCCGACGCCAAGAAAGGGAAGCTCAGCCCAGAGGCTAGGCGGTCTGCCTTCAGGCCCGTGTTGAAGAATGGCGTCGTGCGTGCCTCGGTGCCCAAGCCTGGCCGGCTCCACAGCGGCCGCTTCTGGAGCTGCAGCATCTGCGACGAGTGGTTTGTTCCTCGGCCTGCCACCCAGCCTGCTGCGGCGAGGATGCCTGCCTCCGGTGGCCCTGGAGCACAGCAGCCTGCTGACCCCCTTAGCTCCTAAGAGTCCCGGCCCTGCCATCCACCCCTGAGACCCAAGTTCACAGCTCTTTCCTCGTGCTTACCCCCGCTCTACCCTGAGGTGGGATACTGACACCACCAAGTTCAGCTACAGGTCCACGAAGTCCCTGACCCACCTGTCCTTACCCTGCAGATATCAAAGCCCCTGCTTTCTCCAGGCCCACCCACTTCCTCTTTTTGCCTGAGCACAGACAGGTCAGGAACACATGCTTATTTCCCTACTGCCCTATTCCCCCAGTTTGAATTGTTAAATATTTGTTCTTATTAAAATCATATTAACAGTAATCATGAGAGAAGTCTTCTGTTGTCATAGTTGTTGTTGTTATTTGCCCTCCAGTCGGACCCGACTCATAGCGACCCCTCCTTGGGTTTCCCAGGCGGTATCACTACGCAAGTAGATTGCCCCATCTTCCTTCCGATGAGTGGCTGGTGGGTTTGAACTGCCAGCCTTCTGGTTAGCAGTCAAGTGCCTTAGGCACTACGCTCTTTCTCATCGCATAGGTTAAGATTTCATCGATAGCAGAATTTCTCAATCTGGGCAGTATTTACATATTAAGCCAGATCATTTTTTTTTTTTTTGTGGGAGGGAGAAGGGGGAGTGGGGAGTGTCCTGTACATTATAGTTTTTAGCAGCATTCCTGGCCTCTGCCCAGAACCTGCCAGTAGCCCATACACAGTGTGATAAGCCAGAATGTGTCCAGGCTTTGCCAGGTATCTTGGAGAGGTGGTA